ATTCAGGGAGGGGTAGCCATTTGGCACGCTGGGTTGGGGATGAGGGGGAAAAGAACAGAGCAGAGGGAGACTGGAGAAAGGACAAACTATAAAAAAAGAGTTAAAAAATATTCACTAAGTGAAAAACAGATGAACGAAGAAGAAACTCTAAGCCCCCAGCAGTCTAAGTCTACGACAGCATAACTTAGGGACGATTCAGTGTCACTGGATCCAGCCCTAACTATAAGCTTTATCAAAAAGGAAAGTTTTAAGCCTTATCTTAAAAGTAAAGGAGGTGTCTGTGTCCTGAATCCAAACTGCAAGCTGATTTCACCGAAGACGGGCCTGAAAGCTGAAGGCTCTGCTGTAAACTCAACACTGAGAAACTATAGGAACCACAAGTAAGTCAGCAGTCTGAGAGCAAAGAACTTAGAACAATAAGGTACTATGAGGTTTTTAAAATATAATGATGTGTGATTATTCAAGACCTGGTAACTGAAGAGAAGGATATTAAATTAAACTTTGGTTCTGCACATTTGTTTAATATGCAAACTGAACATCAAAAATGTCTCAACGTTTAATTAGAGTGTCCCTGGAGGTCAAGGTAATGCCATCTAGACTGGTTAGACACCATGCTTCTAAGATTTTTAGGGCTGAGTGCAATAACCTCCGTTTTGTCTGAGTTTAGAAGCAGAAAATTAGAAGTCATACAGATATTTGTGTGTTTAAGACGTGCATGTAATTTAACTAAGCGTTGTATGTCATCTGGCAAATACGGGAAAACAAACTACTGGGGGAAAAAATTAAAGGCAAAGAAAAGGTGCAGGTTTTGTACAGCAGTGCTGTTGCACTGGTGGACTGCAGCGGTACTGGAGCCGGCTGGGCTGAAAATCAGTGAGCTCATTCTGGCTACGCTGACAGGAGGGCGGGGCTCCCAGCATCATCACCACCGGCCATCACTTCATTGTACGGGGCTGCTGCTGATGCAGAGATCATAGCAGGCGATTGTGTTTCTCTTAGTTAGTAACGGAAGCATGGCATGGATGTGGTTTCTCACCCGTTAGGTCTTCACATTGGATGGGAATCTGTTGTGAGGTAAGGCGATGAAATCTGTCGGCAGTGTGGCTGCTGTAGTTGAGGTTTATCACCGTCTGAACTGGGAGTTCCTGAGACTAGCGGGCCTGTTGGCTTGACTCACACTGATCAGCCCAGAAGCGAAGCGAGAGATATAAACTGGTTTTGTTTTTTTAATCTCACCTCTACTGGAGCGAGGAGAGGCCACCATCGCGTTCTGTGGCATAAAACTCTAAAGCGCGTCTTATTTAGCCGGCAGCAGAGATCTAGCCTGCCTGTCGGAAGTGGCAGAGCTCGGCCTACACCAGCAAACCATTTAAAGATGACGAGGATGGAGCCTGAGTCCGGGTTTTCCTCGCCATGCAGAGCCGGATGCTCACGCTACATCGAGCATATTTCGAGCTTTTCGTAGCCGTGATTGTTGTGCTGTGTGGATCCCAGGTGGTGTTGCTTGTGCCTCTTGGTAAAGACAGATAAGCATCCTTTTCTATAATTATTAGGCACGTGTGGTTTTTCTGGACGTGAGGTCTGTTTTTCCCTTCTTCTTCTGCTTGACAGATCGTTACACATTGCTGGCCGTGTCGTAAAAGGAAAGGATGCTGCAGTGATGCTGCAAGAGGATGCTAGTCCACAGTGGGTTGGCAGGGCCTCCAGATTGAGGCTCAGAGTCTGTAGCCTACAACTGCCTCAGGGTGTTACACTGGCCTGATTTAACAGACATCACCCCAGCTGGGAAGGTGTTTGTCACAGTATTGTTTCATGGCCAGGGCAGATGCAGGCTAATAACTGACCACAAGCTAATTGTTTATAGATTGCTTTATAAATGCAAGAGTCATCCAATACAAAACACCAATAGCAAAATGTGGCAAAAGGAGATGGCAAAAACGTGAAAAAAATGAGATAAGACCTTTTTTTCTTTGGTTGGGCCTGTGGGCTTATTACTAATAATAATGCTTTATAAATATATTAAATATGTTGCTGTTGTCAGAAACAGCTGAGCAGAGGTGAGGAAGTTATATATATCCCTGTATCATTAAGTCTAGAATCCTATTTTCAGTTCTTATCCATGTATCATCAAGGATTACTTTGGGTATAAAGAGGAATTTATCGTCCTGAACAACTACAAAAGCTTGCAGCTTTAACATAACAGTCAATGCTAACGCCATACTATAATTGCAAGCCATCACTACATATTACAGCCATATTGTAGATGTTATAATGTCTGTGGACATTTAGCCAGGTATACAGGAAAAATTACAAATTAAAATTTGCAATAACAACAATGCAAACCACCATCTCTATTTTCTTTTTCAACAAATGTATTTTTCACTTTGTTAATCTTGCAAGATACACCTTATTTCTTACTCTTATTAATAAACTATTGTTTTAGAATTATATTTACTTTTTCAACTTTAATTTGTTTAAATATGAATTATTAAATAAAAAAAATGAAGAGAAAACCAAGTATTTTAAACATGGAGCAGATGTACACCATAGTCATTTAGATCCATTTCCTGCACTATTTCCAGCATTAGCAGAGCTCTGCTTATACACAGGGTTGGTATTTTGACCTCAGGCAAATGGATTAGAAAGCATCTTTTGGTCAGGACTGAAATGTAATCGGAAAACAAGAAGAACAGTTCTTCTTCACTTCAGCAAAAGTGATGGCACGTTGAACCAGGTTATGTCACAGCTCTATACCAGACTGATTAAACTTAGTTTGCCCCTCGATGTTGGGGCAATACTGGCATTGGTCTGGCTAACTTTCACTGAGAGGGTTGCATAACGGGGATTAACTAAATCAAAAATAGTCCTGAAATGCAAGATTGTGTTTGCTGAAAAAAGAACATGACAGAAAGATAAAGCTGAAAGTGACAGTTGGTTGAGCAGTCAAAAACACGTGGACATAACAGTGCTAAAGAGATCAGTCTGTGCGTCTAGGTCTGGTATTAGGGAGGAGGTTGGATTTCTGCTTCACATCTGGAACACGAGCTGCCAACAGTGTTCAGTCTGTGTTTACAAAATCATATTACACATATCATATCATATCATATCATATCATATCATATCATATCATATCATATCTGTGAGCCTTAAGTGATAACTGTTAGGTGGATTGTGACATTTATAAATCATATTGAATGACTGCACATACAGTAGGGTATTTATTCCTGTGTGCTTTGATTTGGCAGAGAATTATGTATACAAGAAACACATTGTACCTGCATGTAGACATGGTCCAGACAGTTGAATTATCAGATTCACAGTTCTCTGAACCAGAAGTTAGAGAGGAGAATGGCCAGACAGAGCTAATAACAAAGGCAACAATAACTCAAATAAACACTTGTTGCAGCCAAGGTATGCAGAAGAGCATTTCTGAACATGTAATACCTTGGACCTTGAAGCAGATGGGTTGTAGGTGCAGAAGACCACACCAGGTGCTGCTTCTGTCAGCTAAGAACAGCAAACTGAGGCTACAACCCATATGTGCTCATCAAAATTGGACCATAGAAGATTGGAAATAACGTTGCCTGGTCAGATCAGTCTCGATTCCTGCTGCAACTGTCGAATGTTTGAATTTGATGTAAACAAAATAAAAGCATGCATCCATTCATCCTCAACAGTTCAGGTTGCTGCTGGTGGTGTGATGCTAATGGGATATTTTCTGCATGAAACTGTGATCCAATCTGGTACTAGCAATGTGTACCTAAAAAGTGGCTGGCATGTATGTTTTCAGTTTTGCACTACTAGTGTTCATAGTAAAGCAGTGTAAAAATCCACATCAATAGGTGGAAGGCTTGGTGGTGGCACATATTAAACAAAATACTTCCAACCATGTGACTGTTTGGACAGGGTTAGGGAAAAAACGCTTGGCTAGGCTTTGAGAAAATCACGATATGGGGAAAATGAACCTTTTCAGAATGTTATCCACAGAATTCTCACATCTGTAAAAAGCTTAAAGCTTACTTAAAAAAAAGCTTACTGTAAAAGGTATAGTCCTACAAGTAGTGCTGACGCCTGTTTTCTGAAAAAGACAAGGTGTTTTACATGCCCTTACCACAAGACTAAGTTTACATATACAGGGATTATTTCAGTCATCTTCAAGCTTGACCACTGTTTACCACATACTGTATAAATAAATGTTTGCAGAAATCAGTAGGGTCCCGTTTTGGAGAAAAAAATGTATGTAATCTCTTTATGATACATAAAATCAATGGCAGTGAATTAGCTGCCATTGATTTAAATGCATTTGGAAAAACTGTAACACACACTGCTATATGCAGAATCAGCATGTAGTCCAGGTTAACATTAAATCACTAGCAATTGTTCAAACAAAGCAAAAATGCGTCCTTGTGACCATCAATCATTTCTGTGTTTTAACTCTATTTTCAGTCACACTGAAGCTGCGGCTCGTATTTCTAATGCTCCCTCTGATAGTCTGCTGGAAAATCCAGCGCTGACAGCCAAATTTAATGTCTGAGGAGTCAAAAGTGGGTCATGGTGCCAGTGTGCTTCGTGTCGTAGTATTTAATGCACACAAGCTCACATTGATACATCAACACCATTTTTCATTCTTAGCTATTTTTTTCATATTAAAAAAATCTATCCATGCTAATCAGTTACTGTGAGCATGGATGGTTTTAGTTAAGACTTACCAATCATATCTCCCAGTCATCACAGTACTATTACTACAAAACGTGTTCCACTTACATGGCTTTGTTTTTGGTCAAACTGGTCAAACATGGTGTGTGTTTGACAAGTGGTTGTTGAAGCCTAACTTAGGGACATTTTATAATGTGAATGATGCCATCACACTTTAAAACTCCCAGGTCATTGTCCAGCTGTGCAGTTCCTTAGAGCTTTTTCACATTTTAGCTCTCTGTTCTGTGTATTCTAATGTATTTTGTAGTGTATTGACTTCATGGCTTAGTCGTGACACTCTAATGAACTCTGTTTGAAGCTTCTGACCCCTACTATCATTAAAAAGCTTAGATAAGGTTGTTGTTCTGCTTGCTCAGCAACAAATTGCATTAACATTTAGATCAACATATTGTTTCTCAGTATTGGATTAGAAATTGGACAGTTACAATATTATTATTTTAGGTGGTCTAAAATCTGCCTCGAAATGAATACCAGAAGTCTTTAAGATGTCACATTTACCATACAGCTTCAAAAGGCAGTAGCAGTCACTCAGTACAGCTGTGACTTTTTCCTGTTTTACATGCATTTCTTAGTGAAGCTTCAAGCTCACCTGGAACTTGTTTAGGACCGAATAGCCGACAAAAATATCAACTAACTCGAAACCATAGTTGAGCATTTAGACACTAGAGATGTAGATTTTTTTCTCTCTCAGGAATTGATGAAATTTATACCAAAAGGAAAGTGGATTTTGGGCTAATAGTTATTAATGGCATTCTGGCACCTTCAGTTAAAGAGCAACTAAACCTGATAGGGGGATTTATGCATGATACGGTAAAAGGAGTTTTTCTTCAGTGAGGTAATAAAAAAATAAAAAATAAAAAAGCAAATATCACCAAACACAAAAACATGTTTTAATGTAGCTTGCCACAGCGTGTCTGCTAGGTAGACGTACAGTCGGTTTATTTTTCAGGGAGTGGAAAAAAAAATCCATTACATTACAACATCTGTGACATTTTCAGGGATGGAGAAAGATGTAAGAAAGTGAGGAAAGGCGAGAAAGATAAGAGATTTTTCAAAGGTAGAAACTGCAAGGACATTTGAAAAACTGGAATTTTAAAGCTTCTTGTAATGTCCTAATTGATTCTGTAGTGTTTGGATCGAAACATAATGTTGCAAATTTCTTTTTTTTATACTGTGAAAGTCATTCCAAATAAAGTGAAGTATGAGAACTTTGTGTTTTTCAGAGGGTGTCGTTTAGAGCAGGCTGAAGTCACTAGCTTGAAAGACTGCGGTGAAGTTTCCAGTAATGCACCACTATATGCTGGATGCAGAGTGGCTGTGGTGTTCATGTTCAGTGTTAGGTTACATCTAGGATTGCA